ATCTTGATTTTCATACAATCACATTCATAACAAACTAATTAATATTATATTTTTATCTACATTATCTAACTGATTTTTTTATGATATAATTAATATAACATCTTAACTAATTAATTATTTATCTAACCAGAATTATCTCTCTAACAAACTTTTCATTTTTTTTTTTAAATTAAATGGTATGATTATTTTTATGGAGATACTTAAACATTTAGAAACTTTTTTAAAAAAATGAGTTATCCCTCCTTTTACTTTATTTGAGATTCTAAGTTTTATTTTTAAATATATTATTGTTTATTTTTTCTTACGTGTAAATGCTTAGTATTTATTATCTAAGTGATAAATATTGTTGATTTATCTCTTTAATAAATGTTTGTTATTTATTTTTTCCTTACGCGATATAATCTAAATTTGGTTATTTAGATTTTTAAATTCAAACATTTAAAACAAAAGATCACAAGCAGATCTTTGGGTATATTTCATTTTATCTTTACTTCCATATAATCACATTCCTAACAAACTAATTAATACAACTACAATTATCTAACTGAAATTTTTAAAATATAATTAATATAATATTTTAAATAATTAATTTTTAGCCTAATCGAATTTATCTTATTAACAAACTTGCCAAAATTTTTGAAATTAAAATAGTAAGATTATTAACAAATTTGAATTATTCCGTCTTCTACTCTATTTGAAATTCAAAATTAATTTTTTAAACATATTCATAAATATTATTATATATTTTTTCCTTATGTGATATAATCTAAATTTGGTTATTAAATTTTTAAATTCAAACATTTAAAGGAAAAGACCACAAACAGATTTTTTGGTTACATTTCATTTTATCTTAACTTCCATATAATCACAATCCTAACAAGCTAATTAGTATAATATTTTTTTACCCACATTTATATAATCAGATTTCTTAAAATATAATTAATATAATATTTTAACTATCTATTCATTTGTATAACTTGATTTAACTCATTAACGAACTTGCCAAATATTTTGAAATTAAGAAAATTTGGATCATTCTTATTTGTAAAATAATAAAAAATAGCTTTACTTTAAAGTCTGGATTATTTCTATTATTTTTTGTACGTTAACAATCATATATTGGATAATTGATTTAAAAAAAAAAATCAAAACCGTAAGGTTTAACAATATTCCTTAAATAAAAATATTGTATGAAGAGAAGTGTTTAATAATATATATTTTTCATTGTTTGAATTTATTTTATTTTCATAATAGACGAGATGTGAAAAATATAAATAATTATATTTAAAATAAAGTCTAAATAAAGGTTTAAAATATGAGCTCCTCCGTGCATCGCACGAGATATACATTTTTATCAATTACATGCAACGCACGGGATGTGTACTAATTTTAAATAGACATTTTTATGTAACTTTGCAAAATTTAAATTTATATAATATTTTCAATAAATTATATGGGTACATTGTATTGCATAATGATTCCATGTTTCTAATTTATAAATATTATTTAATGAGAATTTTTAATTTATAAATATTAATTAATATCTCTTACCCATGCATCGCACGGGATTCGTACTAGTTTATATAAATATGTATGTATTTAAATGGAGGATAATAGTTTTATCTATCCAAACCAACTACATTATTTGTTTTCTCTAAGATATTAATGGTTAGTAAAATACTCTAGAAATTTGTAAACAAATGTTAATAATATAGGGAAAATAGAGATATGTATTTCATTTATTATTATTATCTAATAATACCATGAAAAAGAAAAATAAATAAAGTAAAATAAAATTACTCAAGGAAATATTGTTTAATACTAATAAATCATAAAATTAGCACAATTCAGATAATGGTGTTACATGTGGGGTATCACAAATATATGCTTGTTTAATATCTTACGGGTTAAGAGAACGCAGTACATAACCAAGGCCTAGTTCGTTTACGACGATCAGCATAAAATAAACTTTTCCTCTTTGGGATCCTGTTCAATACATAAATGTACTAGTGCAACTAATCAGTCAAGACTAATTGTACTGTTGACACTACAACCGTTCGGATGGGGTTGTCATTTCCATCTAGGTTGTGAACCACAATTCTTGTTTCGTAAGTAACTAATAGAATGATCTTCTGTTCGCCCGATGACGACCCATTCTATCTAAGCGCTAAACAACAAAACATAGAACTTGTTTAATCAAACATGATTATCATTCATAAAGGGTAATAGTGTAATATCATCCAAAGTCAAGCTTTCAGTATATAACAGTAACACGGATAAGCTGAGCTGGCTGCCCAAAACAACCCGACCTACCCGTTCGTACAACACACAGTGTGTGTTGGTCAGAGATGGTTGTACATAACAGACCTATCAGGTCACGCCACATGTCCTCCGCACATGGGGCTTGATTCATTTGAGATCTCCCCGAAGGCTCTTATGCTCGACCAACTCTAGGTCAATCCACTGATTGCTCCAAGTCTGGGAAATGGTCGATCGAACGACCAGTTGTACGACAGGTCGATCTTCGACCAAACCCTCCACGGGTCTGGGATCGTCTGTTCTTCCTGCACCGGAATCCCTCTTCATGTTATGTTCCTATTCAGAGTCTCATGTTCTCGTGATGGTCGACCATAACCACCCTTTCGGTATCTGCTCGACTAGGACGGTTCGACTGGTGTGCTCGATTGGTTCTCTAGGTTGGTAGATTCAGCCGGTTTACTCCTTTAGGTATGTTATCCCATATCAATTATCTAAATTATAATTTTAATATTATATGCATACAAATAACATATAATACTCTATGTTTAAAATAGAGTATTATTATCAAATTTATAATTTTAATATTATATGCATACAAATAACTTATAGTATTTATTTATATTTGTGCAAATGCACATCGTCGAATGCTAGTTATAAGGATTATGAGGGATAAAATTTGATTTTTTTTTTTAATTTATGAGGGTTATATGGTCATTTGTGCATCCAAGTACTGTAGAGATTTAAACGATCTCCCCCCACACCCATTGATCAAATAATCTGAATAAAGGTAGATAAAACATTGTAAAATCTCGGGCCAAAAGATATCTCGCAGGCCTTAGTCTGGAGAAACAAACACAAGAGTAAGCGGCTGACTGGGGGGAGATATTCCACATAAAAAAACCCTAATTTCTCCCTCTCGTTTTCTCCCAAATTCCGCCGCCCCTCTTTCAATTCTTGTCGGTTTGTGTGCCTTTCTTAGCGGCTGACTGGGCGTGCTGGTGGTCTTCTCCTCGCCACTCACTCATGGCCTTGTTCATGGTGGTCCTCTCTGCTTGCTATTGATGGGTGGTGCGGACGGTTGTCGTCGCCCGAACTTTTCGTCTTTTCGGTTCTGGTTCGCGGCGGCAGCCCGTCGGCGTTACTGGGTCGGTAGTGAGGCAGGGTGGGGTGCGATTTTGGGGGCAGGGTGTGGCTCGGGCATCCTGTGTCGTCCTCGTTGCGGCGACATCGCACGTCTTCCTCCTCAGACGAGCCCGCATCTGGGCTTACTGTGTTGTAGAGGTCTTTGGTACTCTATAGTCGATGGCTCCTTGGATTGCAGCGGTGCTTAGCCCGGGGCAAGTTTTCTGGGAGCTGGAAGGAGTGGCAGTGGTTCTCGCTGGAGATGACGTAGCAATCGGGGCTTGACGCCTTTCTTGCTCCCTTCCCCTGTCTCTTTGGTGTTGGGTCTGGGGGAGAACCACTGTTGCCGATTTTGGCAAGTGGTGTTAGTCGGGTTCGGGGCGATGGTGTTGTGGGTGGCGGTGTTGGTGTCTTTCGGTTGGAGGGTGGGTCAGCTCTTGGTTTGGTTCGGAGATTGGGCTTCTATTTCATCTAGGCGGTTCGCCAGTGGAGTGATGGTTTCCTGGGCTTCGAATTTCTCTTGGGGGTCGTCTTTGTTCACTAGTTCCGGCTAGTTTTTATTTAGTTGTTTTTGGCTGTTTCTAGGTGTGTTTGATAGTTTTTTTCGTTTGTCTGTTAGGTATCGTGTCTTTGGTTTGGGCCATTGGCTTCTGAGCGTCCGAATGAGAGGTGACATTATCTTTTTGGGATTGTCTCTATCCTCCTTTTGGGAGCTTTGTAGTTTTTATTAATGTTTGTCGTGTCAGTCGTGTCGTGAGTCTTATTTTTGGTTCCTAGCGTTGCCAGGTTCTAGGCGGTCGATCTTCTGACTTGTCCTTCCAGTTTATTCAGCTTTTGGTTGTATTATTCAACTAGGGGTTGTACCTTTGCACATTTGTACATTTTGATACAAAAAATTCTTTATCGTTTCGAAAAAAAATAATTTTCATTTTAAATATAATAATATTCTAAGTTTGTAAAAAAAAATTAAAACGATTTCACTTTATATATAATTTTTAAATTTAGTTATTAATTTTATCAGGACTATAATATACGTGTGTGATTCTAAGTGGTCATGTAAATCTGTACTTTATCAGTACCTATTATGACTTTTATAAGTATAAAACATTTAACTTACTTAGATTATTGATATTTGTAAAGTTAATATCTATTTGATTTGTCAGATGTTTGTACATAATTTGTTAAATTAATCATCTTTTGACGAGTTTCAATTTGAAATCTATATTATATGTATAAATTTTAAATTTTTATTTATCTTTATTATAAAATTAAATCATCTACTAATACTAATTAAAAATTAATAAAACTACATATCAATTCAAAATATCATTAGGGTATGAATTCACAATTTTTCAATTTACCATCACCCATTTAGGGATCATATTATATTGTAATAAAGTATGATGAAAAGAGAAGAGAGAAGTAATATTTGAAAACGAAAGTTACTTTATTAAGAGTTAGATAAACATAAAAATCATATATTAAATTATTAAATATTATGAAAATAAAAGAATAAAAATAAAATTTAATATTAATATTAAAAATTTATTTTATACTAATTTTTTCATTAATTCTATTTATATTAATTTATATGATTTTATTATTATTGCCCGTGTGTTAGATAGGTTCATCGTTTACCATAACCCTTCACCTGGCAAACTACCACGCCAAAATTTCCCTTGTTCTACGTCTCAGCTTCCCAAAAAAGCTTAAGGTAATCGAGTGACCAAATCATGATCAAAGGCGGCAAGTCATCCGTGTTAACATTCGCCGACAAATGCAAGGTTACGATTTTCCCATAAACATCGCCTGCTAGTCTATGCTCCGACCTGTAAACCCTTTTTTTTGGTTTGTTTGTTCTCTTTGCAGAGCATACTGGCTTCCAATTGGCAAGGTAGCCTTAACACGGTCAAAGCCGACGCTCAAGGAAGGTATGTATGCCTACAAGAATACTGTTTAATTAGTTTGCAATGGCAACCCAGGTTTATATTCTCCGTTTTGGTTCCTTCTATGCATTTCAGCAAGGAGGAGATTTACACTTCAAAAGTTAAGTATTTTGTGAAGAAAGGAAGGCCCTATATATGGGTGCCTGAGAAGGATTTGCATAATGTGGTATGATTGCCTCTGCATATGTGCTCTCTGTATTGTGCTTCTTTATTAATTTTGTTCCCCAGAATTGCTTTAGCTAATTTTTGGTCAAAATCAGATTTGCGTTACGGCATCAAAACTGATCCCTTATCCCCACCGTGACCAGCTAGCCAGTTTCATGCACGTTTCTATCTTCTTCGATATTTATTTATGTGCCGACAATTTGATTTCCATTTTGCTATCAGCTCTTTATGTCATTTTTATTCTGTTATATTTGTCAAAGAGAGGGGACCTAGTGAGTGCTTTATTTTGGTAGACTGCTGAATTGGTATGAGAAGTTGAACCTGGGTCTTGGTTGGTTCAGATTTTAGAGTTTTGTTTGGCCTTGAATTTATACTATACAAAGTATGAAACTATCCTACTGAAATATAAGATTTGTAAACAAGGTATTAGTTGATAAGATATGATGAAAGGGTGTTAATGATGTTCTTTGGGGATTAAGATGACAATACTATGTCCTGAAATTTATGAGTGTTGTTGGATTTGGCTAACTTAGACCACAGTGTATTAAAAAAAAAAGGCTCTCTGCTCCAAAATAATGCTAAAGGATAAGGATATTTCTAGCTCTGCTCCAAATTAATGCTAAAGGATAGGGATATTTGTAGCTAATATGCCATAAGGAAGATAGGGATATATGGTTTGAAGGAGCAACAGGAGACTTGCAGAATTAACTTCTGGATGTTGTTCTAGAACTGCCTTGGATGATTGGATCTGGTAGAGATTACCAAGAGATGGGATTATTTCTGTTAGTCCATTTGCAAACTTCTCTCCAGAATGCCTAACTATTGGAAGTTTATTTAGTTTACTAATGCTCTAAACACAGTTATTGAGCATTATGTGGAGAAGAGCTCAGTGGGGCGTTTCCCAGTGCCACACTCGATGAATAGCATGTTTGGCTTACGTAATGAAAATTCTGAAACTTTTTAACTATGTTTAAAATAATTATAATCGAAACGTATTAAATATCTGAAATAATAAAATAATAAACTACTGTTGACCCTAGATCTTAAGTTAAGCATATCTGACAGAAAAGGGCAAGTCTATGGAAATGTACCTTTTAAGCTAAAGAATTGATCTATTCTCTCTCAACAGATATCTTTCTCTGCTGCAATGTAAGTATGTAACTCAAGATAAAATATTATATCACTAAGTTTCAAGGGTCTAGAATTAAGATAGTACTGCAATACAAAAATGCTTTGAAGGTATATAGGATGGGGATTTCTTGGCACATCAGGATACAACTATCGTTGCCCACTTGAACCGAAAACTGAATATAGTTTATGGCGAACTAGTTGTTTATTCACGTTCTAGTTCTTTATTCTCCATCCTAGTTTGTATTTTAAACGGACAGTTTTCATCATAAGACAGAAATTTAGAAGTAGAGGTAATGAGATGCTAGTGTGCAAGTCTCGATTCAATTGTAATAAGTTTTGTGCTTGATTGTCACCTAGGCCTCAAGAACTTTTGTCTGTGTTATATGGAGCACCCACGTGACATATATCAAGGAAAATTTCCCTTCATCATCTAAACTTTTTCATCTTCAGCCACATCCCGTACTTATGTCAAGTTGCTTTATCATAGTCTTGCGCGAGCAACTTAATTTTTCACCTGGGACCTGTCCTTTCTTGTCTGATTACAGAACACTATTATTGATGAGCGTGGTTCATTTTCTGTGACTAGTCCCTTTCCAGGCCAACTTGCGCATATACTGAAATCGATAAAAAAGGTGCGATTACAATTCTTATTCAAGTATTTAATTTTTGACATGAATCCCACATTATTCTGTACCAGGCCGTGCGCACTCTTAATCTGCTTACTGGAATTAAGTAAAGTGGACTTATGTAGGAGATCAAAACATAATCTCTCCTTTGAGTTATTTCTGTTTTGTAGAGCTTGGTTTTAAGTATGGTTTTGTATTATTCATTTGTAGAACATAGAACTTATTTGTTTCATGGCAGTCCGAAAATACTGACCGCTTTATATAACACAGCTACCAGCTCGGGTTGCTATACTAGGGGACGTTGTGCGTCTTGAAGATGAAAAGGTATACCATTTTTTAGGATTAAGATTTCTATGTTGATATCACTATACATAAAGTTTCGTTGATATCTGTAATTATTTGGTTTTGCTATTGTAACTTCGTGTGACTTATTCTGTAATTGCAAGTTTTCAGTAAAGTCCTACCCCTATCGTCTCATTAGAGGTTGCGCAAGCATGGGTTATGCTTATTAAAAGGAGCACTTCTTACTTGGCTGAAACAGAAATCATACATATTTATTGCACATTCTACGAATTTATCAATTCTAACAATGCTCTACGAGCTATAAAAATTGGAATGAAACGTGTACAGATACCTTTTATCTAGAAATAATGAAGATATATCTTTCACCAAATAATGATGGTGAGATATGATCTGTATAGCCAACCCTGCACAGTGACCCTTTTCTTGAAGTAATCCCATAATAAATTGACCGACCATTATGACTCCCAGAAAATGAGTGGTTTTCTAGAAGTTCATTCATGTCTGTTGCAGGTTGAGTTGGCGGCTGAAAGCCTTAGGGATGCTTTATTAGCAGAGCAAAGAATTCTTGAAGAGTCGAGCTATTCGGTTACTGGAATACTGAATTCTTCTTATCCTAGTTTGACTTCCCGGAGTGCAAATCTCCAGGATTTACTCCAGGGCGAAAAACAACATTCTATATACAGGTTCAATATAAGGTTAGGAGTTAACATTTCCTTTCCTTTTTTTATTTTCATTTTTATAATGCATTTACCTGACTACGTGAGCGACTCGTGCTCAGTGAAATTTATATTGGTTAATATTTCAAACAATTAGCGAGCTTAAAGGATTTGAAGATGATAAGGTATTAGAACAATTTGTCAGGTCGCTCGATAAAGGACGGCTAAACGATGAGATTGGATCTACATCTCTTTGTTAACTTGAATACTACTCTTGAAGTTAAACTTAATTATAAAATATCCTATTTATGCTTGAAATTACAAAAACTTCATTTCTTTTATTTCTGACAAATTTCACTCTCAAGTGGTTTGTAATTGTTAATTATTCCAGAGGTTTGGGGTAGTTTTCAAATTTGTCCTTACATTCTATATCAATGAGAGCTTCCATACTGCATGTTGATATCAAAAATAGACGATCAACCGTCAAATATAAGTCGTAAATCTTGTATGAAATTGAAGAACAAAAATGATTGAGAATAGGTGTGTTTTCTTATTTTGGAGAGAATATCTCCTTTTTTTGTGTTGGGGGAAAAATGAAGAATGAAGAGAAAAAGCCCCCTTCTCTCTCCTCCCCATTCTTTATATATACATCCCTCACTTCTTGCAAGTGGGTCATTAAATAAATAAAAGACAATACAATATTATTTAATGTGAGATAATCATCATGGGGCCAACGTATGACTGTTGACGGTTTCGACGGGCGTCTATCTCCTCGGCAATCGTGGCGTCTACCGGAGGCGGCTTCTTCATGATATGTTGGCCATCCGATTACTTTGAAGTCTGCTCGGTTCAATAGTGGTCGGACTCGTCGGCTGGGGACCCGATCGGCTTTTAAGCGATCGGTCTTGAGAACCTGTTTGTATATTTATTTATTATGTATTTTCGACCCCTTGGTTATCGGGTCGTTATTTATTATTTTATTTACCGTCTATTTAATCGGAGACAAATTGGGTATCAACACTGCACTCTGGCAATTGATGGTTTTAAATGATGCAGTTCGTGCACATATATTGACCGCAATGGGGGAGCACATGAAGTTAATCCTAAGGACATTGAAAAGTCTAAGGCTGATCCACTATGTAAGACCTATATCTTCTGTATATATAATTGTATTGTGTTTATTATTGCTCATAACGTGATCCGTTTTCTTGAATAAAAACCTCTTTTTGACTTAAGCATCTTATATTAGCTTATGGTACTTGTAGCTTCATTCTCGATGAGCTTGATAGATGGAGTTAATCAAAATGAGATGAGGCGTCGAGCTCTAGTCCTTTTGTGCATCACTTTCTTGAATGAAAATGCAAAGGTAAATGACTTTAGTTGCCTCATTTTCACAAATTTTGATGGTTTATGTCTCTTTATCCCTGGCACTTGGTGAGTTAAAAATTCTTGTGTCGCCTTATTTGCCACCCTATCCTCATTTACTCAATATGTCAAGTATAATTGGTGTTTCCGCTTGATTATTAAACAGGCAGTTACATAATTTTTAACATTCATAATTATTCATGAACCAAACTGCATTTGTTCACATACCTTTATGCATATATTTTAATGAACCTATGTTGAATGAGCTCTTAACGAGATCCTTGTCGAGTGTCAAGTAAATTGGGTTATAAAATGAGTAAAGAAAAAGTTCTGCTGACCTGTGGTTTTTTTGCTTGAATGAAGGATGCTTTTCTACTTTCAATAGATAGGAAGGGATTTGATGTGCTGGGAAAAATGAAGAATGAGGGATGGAAGGAGTTAAGGTTTACATTCAACGGGGAAGCACGTGATGTCCATATGTTCTGTCAGAAGCTTCTAGAAATGGAAGAGGAAGCCCTCAAGAATATCTCAAATTTCAGTGGTTTATGAGTGTACCTGCAACTGCATTGTGAAATATAATTAATATAATAGTCCTCTAGCTAGCAAAATCGAAACTGAGGTCCAGTAGCATTATGATCATGTATGCTAAATTTTGGAAATTTAAATTTGCAGTCTAAAAAAAATCGACTCTTGTTCCTCCTCATCGTTGTCATCATCATGACTATTTTTGGTAGTTTTTTAGGTATGCTATACGAGTTGCATTGTAGCATCAGCGAGCTGTACTTTTGAAATGTGAGTTCTTATTTTTTATTTAGTTCTTATTATAATGAATTTGTCCTTATTATTTTTGGTAGTTTTTTGGGTATGGTAATTGTCTGTATGCGAGTTGCCTTGTAGCATCAGCTAGCTGTACATTCGAAATGTGAGTTTTTAATTTTTCCCTTAGTTCTTATTATAATGAATTTAATATTGTTTTTTATATTCTGCACCAAGATGAAATCTTGTCACGAGATTGCCATGGACTTTATTGGTTGGGTTTTGTCAAATCTTTGTCATGGAGATTCCCTTGGATACAAATATATCCCTAAAAAGGGATTGAGAAAATTGCACATTCTAAAATATATATCAGTTTTAATTACATAAATGAAACCCATTACAAATATTAGCAAATATACAAAATCTCACCTTTATATTGCAAAATTACCAGATAATTAAGTCATCGTAATTAAAGGTGACTTATCACCTTCCAAATTTAATGGGATTCATTTTTCATCTCACACAGTCTCTCTCTCTCTCTTCTCTTCTTCTTCTTCTTCTTCTTCTTCTTCTTCTTCTTGTTTTTGGGTACAATTTTTCTTCTTCTTACCAATGCTATGCGTCGCCGGGAAAGGATTAACATCGGGCTCAAACCCACAATTTCGGCTCAAGTTATAGGCCCAACTATACATGTGGCTAAATAAATTTTCTCTTCAACTCCAAGACATAAGAAACCTATTTCAATGCCTGCGTTCCAACTATCTTGAAGCGATCAACCCCAAAATACCATGAAGACTCTCAATCAAGTGCTTCCTTTATTAATTTCATAGTTTAATCGCTCAAATTTCGACACGAATGAATTTTCGTGTTTCGTTAACAGCAAATGAGATTTTTCATTTTAATTTTTCCAAATTTTATCTCATCAAGAAGTGACATCTGGTTCGGCTTCATTATTATTGTGCGTTGATTATTATCGTTCGAGATGTATTATGAGGATCAATTGGCTGAGTTGGACGCAGGCTGACTCTATTGAAGGCGGGCTCAGAGAGGTCCCGCGATCAAATCAACAAAATGAAAAAGAGAAGAAAAAACTAAAGAGAAGAGAACGTGGTAGTCTGTGGTGGTGGTCGGGTCATTGTGGCTGACAGTCGGAGGCCGCGGGAATCGTGTCGTTGTGGCTATCACGGTCGTTGGATATGATTTTTGGCCGAACGTGGCCGAATGTTTTTTTTGTATATCTTATGAATATATTCTGTATATAATGACAACATTGATTTATTCTCTATATATCTGTTGTGTATTTTCTTTTATGCCGACCATATACAATGAGTATATCTTCTATATATGTTCCCGGCAAATATACTGTTTTTGAGTATATGTTAAGGTTGACAGTATATTTTTAGTATATGCACATGAGTACGATTTCAACTTGTTTTGTATACTGTTAATATACATAATTTTATCTGATTGCCTTCAGCAATTTGTTTTTTTTTTTTCGTTGTTTTGGTATAATAGAAGATTCTTGCAACATATACTGAATATATACTAACTATAAACGCATTTTAGTTTAATGTATACATATACTGAATATAATGTTTAATATACGTTTAATATACACTATTAACATGATGCGATTTAAAAATTAAACAAAAAATTGTCGAAATATACGCGTGTTTGGCGAAATAGGTTTTCAATATTATGGGATTTGTGTATAAAAAGTCATTTATAATTCAAATTCATAATATTTCCTATTTGTATTGAACAAAATCCTAATTAATAGGAGAGATTGACTTATCATGTGTATATATGCAAGGAGAGAGAGAGGCATTGGATATGGCCTCCACAAATCAAGGAGCCGTTCACATTTCAGTTTGGTAACTAAATCTTAGCATTTTTTCAATTAATTGTCATGTAGTTGGTACAAATGCAATAAAATATTTGTCCATGATATATTTACAATTATTTCCAAACAGTTAAGTAAAGATAAACTTTTCCCAAAGGGATTTTGGGATTTTTTGGGCTAACCAATGTTAATTTGAAAAAAAAGTGGTGCGGTTAGTTGTTAGTGGGATTTTGAGTTTATATTAAAATAATATTTTAAAAAAATATGTAAAGTTGATTTGACGTAAAAGTAGGAGAGATGATGTGAGGTGATTATTAATTAAAATTATGTAAGTGAATTAAAGTTGATATGATATGTAAGAATGATTGATTGATATTATTTAATTATATTTATAATATTAAATATAATGAAGTAAATTAAAGTTGAATTAAATTTGAGTATGAAAAAAAAAAATTGTAAACAAATTTAAACAAACGCCCCTTAATATTATGTAGTCGCTCATTTTGAAATATTAGCCCTATCTGCTGGGAAAAGTGCAACCAGGACCATGAGCCTGATAGAATATAAATGATAAAATGAATAATTGTGAAGTTAAACGATAAATATATTTGATTTGAGTGAACCACAAGTCAATACTTGCAGTTGATTTAAGTCTGTAATTAATAGGAATTTCGTTATTATTAAGATTTGAAATAATTGATAAAGCAATTCAAAGGTATGGTGACGATCAATAGTACTTGTTTGATGTTGTCATACAATGATACAAATGAAGCAAATTGATTGTGTCAAGTAATCAACAAACAAATGAATGATCGATAACATTGACTCTGACAAACAAACAAGAAATTGGAAACAACTTCTACAATTTGTAGCTTTTCCTTCAATTTGCCTTCACATCAGACGGTGATGCAACAATTGCAGTATCCTGTATATTGAGCCGCAGTGTAAACCCAAATAAGTTAGAGATTAACAACGAAAAATATTCAATACTAGTAAATGTTGGGGTAGAACACCAAACACAGCGGACAAAACTACCCCTCCAACAAATATGGCAAGCACTACTCCAAACGAAAATAAGCCGACGCAAATAAATAAAAGACGGAAAATAAAAAGGACACAAAAATTCATAACAGAGTTCGACGAAAATAGCCTACGTCTCCGGGCACCGCCAACCGCAATGCCAAATTTACTAAACTCACCAACAAAATACAACTAGGGTTAAATAACCCACAAATTAGAATTTTCTTAATTAAGGATTTCCTTCTAAGAGAGGAGAGAATAGAATAAGGTGCAATTATAACCCAAAGGCAAGGGACCTATTTATACTAATAAGATCCTACACATCTTTGATATACATCTGATGTGGGACAACAAATTATTCAAAAAACTAACAATTCTCCACCTTGACTAATTTTGCTCCCACTTCGACTCTTCAATCCAAATCAACTGTTGGCGGTGCCTCCAAATACGCCTCACGGCGCCAACTCAAATATGCAGAATGTTGGTCAAGTCTAAACAATGTTCAAACTTGACTGCTGTCACTACCTTGGTCATCATATCTGCAGGATTCTCCGTCGTCTTGATCTTCTTCAACAAAACGGTTCCATCTTCTAGAATCTCCCGCACAAAGTAATAGCAAACATCAATATGCTTCGTTCTTGCATGAAATACTTGATTTTTCGCTAAGTGAATAGCGCTCTGACTGTCACAATGCACTAAGACGTGCTTTTGACCAACTCCCAAGTCTTCAAGCAAACTTTGAAGCCAAACAGCCTCCTTCACAGCTTCAGTAACCGCCATATACTCTGCCTCTGTTGTAGACAAAGCAACCGTTGACTGTAAGGTAGACTTCCAACTGACTGGAGCTTTTGCAAAAGTGAACAAATATCCAGTCGTTGATCTTCGGTTATCCAAATCACCCGCGTAGTCAGAATCACAATATCCAACTACACATTGACCAACTTCATTCTGCTCATAAACTAATCCAACGTCTACAGTATTATGAATGTACCATAGAATCCATTTCACAGCTTGCCAATGACCTTTACCAGGGTCATGCATATACCTGCTAACAACACCAACTGCTTATGAAATGTCAGGCCTTGTACACACCATGGCATACATCAAACTGCAAACTGCATTTGCATATGAGACTCTATCCATGTACTCTCGTTCTTCATCACAATTTGGCGATAATTGGACATTTAACTTAATATGATGGGCGAGTGGTGTACTTACAGGTTTCGTCTCATCTTTTATGCCGAAACGTTGTAGTACCCTATTCAGATATTGCTTCTGAGTCAAACAAAGCTTGCCTCTCATTCTGTCCCTACTTATCTCCATCCCGAGATTTTTCTTAGCTTCCTCCAAGTCTTTCATCTCAAACTCTTGATTCAACTGAGCCTTCAAACGATCAATCTCCACTTGGCTCTTTTATGCAACCAACATGTCATCCACATACAAGAGTAAGTAAATGAAAGATCCATCTTGCAGCTTGCGTAGATACACACAATGATCATGTCTGCTTCGCGTGTACTTCTACCCAATCATAAACTTATCAAACTGCTTGTACCACTGTCTCGGAGATTGCCCCAGTCTGTACAATGATTTGTTCAACTTACAGACTCAATTCTCTTTTCCAAGAATTTTGAATTCTTCTGGCTGAGTCATGTAGATTTCCTTATCTAAATCTCCGTGTAAGAATGCCGTCTTCACGTCAAGTTGAGCTAGCTCTAAATCCAACTGTGCTGCTAAGGCCAACAAAATTCTAATGGAAGAGTGCTTAACAACTAGAGAAAACACTTCATTATAATCAACTCCTTCCTTCTGCCTTTAGCCACCAATCTTGCCTTGTAGCGCACATCATTCTTATGAGGAAATCCATCTTTCTTTGCAAATACCCACTTGCATCCTATTGCCCTCTTGCCTTTTGGTAGTTGCATCACCTTCCAAGTTTGATTCTTTTGAAGATACAACATTTCTTCCTCTATAGCCCTTTTCCACTTCTCATTTTCTGAACTCCGAATTGCATCTTGAAAAGTGAAAGGTATGTCATCATCAACAATTGGAAGTGCATAAGCCACCATATCCGCCAATCGAGCAGGTTGTTGAATCTCTCGTCTGGGCTTTCTCAATGCAATGGGTAATTATAATGATTCATGAGTCTGAACTTCATCATCCGACGAATCCTTTGATATTGGTTTCTCAATCATAGCTGGTCGTCTCGTCATCGCATCTATCTCCACCTGCTTTGGTGTCAACTCCACCTATTGGGTTTGCGTCGTCTTTATCATACCTTGTTCATCAAATGTAACATCCCTGCTAAATACAGTTTTGTTCATCTCAAGACATAAAAGACGATATCCCTTCACGCCAATTGTGATTCCCATGAACAAAGCCTTTTCCGCTCTTGGATCTAACTTTAAATCCTTCACATGATAGAACGTAGGACACCAAAGACATGTAAAGATCCATAGTCAGCAACAGGTTTCCCCGACCATACCTCCAACGGTGTTTTACCATCTTTTGCAGATGACGACAAACGATTTATGAGGTGTTGCGCGTACGTTACAGCCTCAGACCAGTACTCCTTGCCCAAACCAGCATTGCACAACATACATCGAACTTTCTCCACCAATGTTCAATTCATGCGCTCCGCCACCCCATTTTGTTGTGGTGTCCGTCTAACGGTGAGTGCCTAACAATGCCATTTTTTCGGCAAACTTCTTGAAAGGGATCACTTGTATATTCTCCACCATTGTCCGTTCGTAGGACCTTGATCTTCCTTCCAGTCTGATTCTCAATTTGCGCCTTCCATGTAATAAAGACACCAAACACTTCATCATTCGTCTTCATAGTGTACACCCAAACGCGTTTGGAAAAGTTATCGATGAAAGTGACAAAATAGCGTCTTCCTCCTAATGATGGGGTCTTAGAAGGTCCTCAAACATCCGAATGAACATAATCCAAGACACCTTCGGTATTATGGATAGCCGTTCCAAACTTCACTCTCTTCTGCTTTCCCCGAGCACAATGCTCACAAAAGTCTAATTTGCACATTTTGACATCTTTCAACAGTCCTTGTTTTGCTAATGTTTGCAAGGATTTTTCACCAGCATGTCCCAACCGCATATACCACAACTCGACTGCTTCAGACTCCTTGTTGGTGGAATCTGCTAATGTTGTTGTTCCAACGACTGTATCACCTTCATAGTAATACAAGTTATTCCTCCTGATGCCTTTCATCACCACGAGCGAGCCGGATGTAGCCTTCATAACTCCATCTCGCAAAGTCACTACCAAGCCTTTAGATTCCAAGGCTCCTAATGAGATGAGATTTTTCTTCAAACTTGGCACATACCGAACATCCGTCAGAACTCTGGTGGAACCATCGCGATCCTTCAGACGGATTGAACCTATCCGAGTTGTCTTACAGGCATTATCATTACCCATGTAGACAACCCCTCAATTGATCTCTTGAAAATCAAAGAACCACTCCCTTACGGGAGACATATGGTAGGTGCATCCAGAATCCAAAATCCATTCGTCTGGATGAGATGATGAAGGTGAAACCACAAGTGAAAATTCTGAGTCTTCACTTCCACCCTCAGCAACATATGCATCTTGAAGAGATTTACCTTTCTTCTTCAACTTAGGACAGTCCTTCTTCCAGTGTCCCTTCTCATGGCAGAAATCACACTCGTCTTTTTCAAGCTTGGCCTTGGAACGTGATCTTCCTCGACCATTATTTTTTTTGCTCTTCGACCGACCTCTTGCAACCAAAGCTTGATCTCCTGCTGCTGCATTCTTCGTCTCTTGTTTGTTCTTCTTCTTCAACTCATAGCTATACAGAGCAGAACTGACCACTGCAAGAGTTACATCGTCCTTCCCATGGAGGAGTGTAGTCTCCAAGTGCTCGAAGTCATCCGGAAGTGATGATAACAACATTAGAGCCAAATCTTTATCGCTGAATGTGACGTCCAAATTCAACAAATCTGCAGCCAACTGATTGAATGCAGTGACGTGGTCATTCATCGATGTGCCATGCCGGTACTCGAATCGGAACAATCGCTTCTTCATGAGGAGCTTATTCTGGCCGCTTTTCTTCAAAAATTTATCCTCCAAAGCCTTCCACAAAGTGTGAGCAGAATTCTCATTCTTGAACGCGTACTTTTGCTCCCTCGATAAACATGAACGGATTGTTCCACATGCTAAGCAGTTGATATTCTTCCAGTCCTTCTCTTCAACGTTGGTTGGCTTCTCTTCTTCATGGCAATGTCGACGCCTTGCTGAAATAGGCAATCCAGCACCTCGTCCTGCCACATGCCGAAATGACCGGTCCCATCGAAGATCTCCACCGGGAATCTGACGTTTGGCATGACCGTCCTTGCTGGAATGAATGCAGAGGATGATGCGCCCTTGACCTTCTTGGACATCTCGGACTCAAATGCGTGCCCGCCTCTTCGAATGAGCCTAGGACGAACCTTCGGCTCTGATACCACTTGTTGGGGTAGAACACCAAACGCAGCGGACATAACTACCCCTCCAACAAATATGGCAAGCACTACTTCAAACGAAAATAAGCCAACGCAAATAAATAAAAGACAAAAAATAAAAAGGACACAAAAATTGATAACGGAGTTTGACGAAAATAGCCTACGTCTCCGGGCACCACCAACCGCAACGCCAAATTTACTAAACTCACCAACAAAATACAACTAGGGTTAAATAACCAACAAATTAGGATTTTCTTAATTAAGGATTTCCTTCTAAGAGAGGAGAGAATAGAATAAGATGCAATTGTAACCCAAAATAAGGGACCTATTTATACTAATAAGATCCTACACATCTTGGTATACATCCGATGTGAGACAACAAATTAATAAAAAAAAACTAACAGTAAACTTGCGATCACGTACTCGTTTTTAAGTATCTCATTCATGATGGACTCTTGTTATGAACATAATACATATGTAATAGAAACGAGTCGTTTTACATATCAGTATCATTTTTAAAATCGAACACGTGTAATGTACATAATCTGATAATCAAATAGAGTAACTATTAGCTTATATTAAACAAACATAGAATAAATCTAAGTTTGCAGTTACCAATTTTCAATGTTTGTTGAAGAATATGTGTGCGCGTGTGAAAATTTTGTCAAATACTGCTTATAGAAAAATATAGTTTAGCCGCAATTCTTGACCAATGCATGAGATTATTTTATCTTAAGACATCCAATTCAACTGCATTCTCATTTTACAAATCTTTGTGTTAGGATTTGCCCAAAAGAGGACGTATTTTTTATTTATCAATATCAAATTCACATGAATCAAAAAGCCCCACGAAAAAACACAAGTCAAATAAGGGGAAAAAAAAGGAGAGAGAGAGTAAGAGAATTCATTACCCAAAAAAGAAAAACAAATATACAATCCTTCTTACATTTTTATCTGCAGAAGTTTTGTCCTCCCCAGAAGATTTAGGTTCGTCCGCGTTATCTTCATTCACTTTCAACACCTCTGCAAAAAACCAACAAACAACAAAAATTTGATCGAGTGAATTAATTGATTCCTTTAAAGAAAGCATGTAAAAAGATCTTTCAAAATAAAATAAAATCACTACACGAGAGCTGATTTCAGGACAATAAATAAAAAAGAACGAAAAAAAAAAAACCTTTTTCGTGAGGTGAAATGTCCTCGGCCGTGACTATGGGCTCAATTGTCCCATGATGATCATCATTCTTCTCGGCCACATTTTCTTTTTCACCTCCTTCAACTGTTAATTCCTCTTCATCATTTTTGTTTTTTCCCTCCAAAACTGACTCATCAGCTTTTTTCTCGATTTCCTTTTCACTTTCCAACGTTTTCTTCTCTTCATTGCATTTTTCGTTATTCTCCTCTAATTTTTCATTTTCCTTCACATTTTCGTGGGCACTGTCGTTATTCTTCACACAATTTGTTTCGTTGTTGTTGAGCTTGTCATTGTCAACTGGAGGATTATATTTTTCTGGGTTATTGCTTTTCTTCTTGCTCTTGGTGAGAGTGTTCTCTGTGGCAACAGCTTGTTTTGATTCCCCACAACCCATTTTTTTTTCTTTTTATGGGTAGTTGGGGAATAAGGAAAGAAACAGAAAAAAAAAGAAGAAACAGAAAAGTAGTTCTTTAGCAATTGATGAAAAACAATGGAAATGAGAGGGATTGAAATGGAGTTGTTCTGTTTTCCAGCCTCTAAGTTTGGTTTAAAGAAAATATGAGGCACCGCATTTTTCGCTGTATTTTCAAGGTCAAAAGTGATTGAGGAAAAAATAAATTAATAATGGTGATTTAGTTTTCTTTATGGATTTTTGTAATGTTTCATGACCATCAAGGTCATTAGATTTTCACTTGTTCCATATGGCAATATTTTGACAAGTGAAAATAATAATTGTGATATAAATTTTTATTATAACTAATAGCAAAGAAGGGATCATATGAGAAAGAGTGATAATGAAAGAAATAAAAATGATTGTAGACCATTAGATTCTATGGTGTAGGCTAATTATTATTATTATTATTATTATTATTATTATTATTATTATTAGTATTAGTATTCTTATTATTATAGCAATTAATATTATTTAATAATTAGTAGCTTAGGAAATAAGTTAGGGCATTATTTGATGGCTTTATTTAAAGAGATCTTAGGCTTGTTATGGTCAGTTGATTATTGAATGAAAATAAGATTGTGAGTTTTATCGAGAGAGTATCTCGTTTATCTTTCCCACTCGTACGGTTCCCTACATCAGTTGGTATCAGCAGTCAATACGATTCGCGATGTCGCCGGGACGAGAAGATGCCGCAGACGAACGACGTGACGCAACCTTCAACGATCGGTTTCAACAGATCGACTACTGATTTAAACAATTGGACGTGCGTTTCACGGATTGGTTTGCCGATCTTTCGACGGGGATCGAGGATGTGCATTTGACGCTTAACAACGTGATTGTTTCGGAATTGCAGACGAACCGTGATGGGGCTGTGGGCCGTGGCTTTCGCGGGGGAGACAGAGGCGGTTGTGGGGGACGCAGCCATGTCGGGGCACCCCGGCAGCGATCCCCGCCACCTCTAAACGGCATCAAGGATGGTGACTTTACCTGGTCGGCTAACCCGTTGGCAGATCGACCACCATGGCGAGGAGACGAAACCACAAGTCAGCCCCGAGTTCGCGAACAGCGGCGGGCTGGAGGTAGTTTCGTACATGGAGGCGGATTTTGGGCGTGTGAAAGTGACGACTCCAGTTGCACTTCTGGGCCTCACAAAAGAATTTTTTGGGCTTGTGAGGGTGATGTCGTTTTTAGGCCTGCGCCCAATTCATTTTATTGGGCTCAGGGGAAGGATGAATTTAATCCTTATTTTGGGCCTGAACAGCCACAAACAGGTTTTGACTTCGAGTTTATAGATTCCCTGAATTTTGAGCCCGACACGTGCGATATCTACGACGGTCCACCAATTTTTGATGAAGAGCCTCCAGTGACGAAGACATATTTTTGCAGTAATATGGGTCCCGCGTGGGATGTCGCAACGGTTGAGTCTTCGAATGGGCAACCGTCATTCACACCCGATTTTTTGAGGATTTTGGCCAAAGATGGTTTTTCGGAGCCGAAGCCGAGACTCCATAACTGGTGGGCCATTTTTCGATTGTTGTTCCCGAAGTCTCCCAACACCGGGATGTTTGGCCGTAGTTATAGATTTATGCGCGGTGAACGATGTGGTCTGTTTTGTGTTCCTCCGGTTGTGTGGGCTTTGCGTCGGGTGTCGTGTACATGTGACTTTGCGGCAGTTGAATCCTTGACCGAGATTATGTTTACCTTCGAGATTGTTGGACGACTTTCTACCTTCGTGTTCGATCGGGGGAACGTTCGGGCTGTTGCTGTCTTGAGGACGTCTCCAACGGGAACGGGTCGGATTCGAGGGCGAATCCTGCTCAACCGGGGGAGAATGGTGTAGGCTAATTATTATTATTATTATTATTATTATTATTATTATTATTAGTATTAGTATTCTTATTATTATAGCAATTAATATTATTTAATAATTAGTAGCTTAGGAAATAAGTTAGGGCATTATTTGATGGCTTTATTTAAAGAGATCTTAGGCTTTGTTATGGTCAGTTGATTATTGAATGAGAATAAGATTGTGAGTTTTATCGAGAGAGTATCTCGTTTATCTTTCCCACTCGTACGCTTCCCTACATCATTCTATATATCAATGGTTAAGATGAAGTCAAAATTTGGTCAATTATTAATGGCAATATTATAAATTAACATATATTATGGTTAAATACACATATTTGACTACTTAATACGGATAAATTAGTCATTACATATATACACATTAATCATTGGGCCCACCATAAATTCCAACCACTACAATAAATTCCAACTCTCATATTTTCAGTAAAAATAAACACACACTACACACACACGCAGATCCCTGCACACACACACACACACACACACACACACACACACACACACACACACACACACACACACACACACACACACACACACACACACACACACACACACACACACACACACACACACACACACACACACACACACACACACACACACACACACACACACACACACACACACACACACACACACACACACACACACACACACACACACACACACACACACACACACACACACACACACACACACACACACACACACACACACACACACACACACACACACACACACACACACACACACACACACACACACACACACACACACACACACACACACACACACACACACACACACACACACACACACACACACACACACACACACACACACACACACACACACACACACACACACACACACTCTGCAACACAGACACACACACATCTTCAGTCTGCCGCCGTCTTTCATCCCGTCGCCACCCGTCAGCCCGTCGCTGCCCATTAGCCCGTCGCCGCCGTCAGTCCTTCGCCGCCGTCAGCCCGTTAGCCCCTCAGCCCGTCACCCCCGTGTCAAGATGTCCAACACGACCATCTTCGCCGTCTTCCCGTTCATCGTCTTCCTCTGTGGCCGTCGGGCCACCACTGCCTGAGCCCGTCGCCGGAATTCCATGAAATCGCTGAAATTTTGTGGCAGAAGAAGACTCGGGGGTTAGGGCTTGAGGGACGACATGACAGCGTGGTCGTGGCTGTGGAGACGGCGGAGGACCGACATGACAGCTTGGGGGACTATCAGTTGAAAATTTGACAGGCTATGGGACCTATATGCAATTTTGTAACTTTTAATATATTATAATTTAGTACTTGAGGCAAATCTATAATTTATTATAAATTTAATATTTGAACAACAATAATAAATAAAATGCATAATAATGTGCACATTGGCATACATTAATGTGCAATGTGTCTAACACTATTGTGCACAATATCGTGCAGTATGATTTGGTCGAACTTTTGTTCCAAGCTAATTTAAAACCGAACCAAATTAATTAGTTAATTTGATCGGTTATCAAATTAGCCAAAATAATCTAATATTTTACATTTTTTTGTTGAAAAATGATAATTTTTTTATAAAAACATAAGAAGAAAATATTTTAACATTTGTAATTAATTATACTATAAATTAATATTTTAACATTTCATTTAATATGTAGTTTTTTTATAGTTTTTGTTGAAATAAATATACATAAAAACAAATAATAATAAAAAATAATAGTATTTTTTATTTAGTTCGGCCGTCGATTATTTCGATTATCTAAATAACTAAAAAAAATATAATAATTGATGTTTTTACAAATAATAATAAAAAGCAAGAAAGGTAGGTTTTTTCGGCCGCAAGCGAGGCGAGAAGAATTGGGGAAAAAGGAGAAGCAACAGGAAAATCGAAAAAATTGATAAAGTAAACACACATAAATATAAAATTGGAGCACAGAAGACTTACTCATGGTCGCGGTGGAGAAGTGGTTGCCGGAAAGTGCTTGAACAGGCGTTGAGAGCAGGCAAGAGCAATGTGCAGAAGGAAAGTACGGAGCACAAAGGAGATTCAAAATCGCAAGGGTGAGAAAAGCTGCAAAAATGATTAAGTGTCGTATTTATAGGAGGACAATTGAATAAGGTAACGAGTTGGGAGAATAGGACCGTTAGATAAAAGGAGATCCAACGGCCGAAACAATTAAAGAGACGCAGATATCGGAGCGGCACAAAGTACGAGAAGACGTGATGATTAAAGGTACAGAGAAGGAAGACATGTGGCAGGCGGAAATTGCGCCAAAAATAAAGAGAAATGAAAAGCGATCATTGCAGGCAATAAAAGAAACCACGTGGTCGAAGGAACCACGCGGTCGAGGAAAGGTAACAACATCAACTAGAGTGATCGAGAGAGGAGACCAGAAGGCGACATCGACAAAAACAATCGGGAAAATACGTGAAACGAAGAAGATAGCTCGGACTCACTCTTAGATCGAGTCATTCAGACTCGACCAGAGTGGGGGGGACTAGATGATATGGGATATCATATGACTAAGGAACAGACCGGCTCATCACGTCGGTCAAACCGACATAAGTAGGGAGAAAACCGCGTGGGCTAAAGGATGATCGACCAAAGCAGAAGAGATCGAGCAGAATGGCAGGGTTGGTCGAGGATCGACCTAGCGAGGGGGAGCTCGATCATATCGAGCGCGTAGCGGGAAGGAGACAGTCGAGAGCGTGACCTGAACGTGAGTAGGCGCGTGGGTGATATTAAGGGAGCCCAACGGCCTACGCAAAGGAATATTTCCCCTCAGCGTAAAAGGGGACACGTGGCGAGAACCCAGTGGTGCAGAGTAAAAGTGGCAGTAACCACCTCTGACGTCCCTAACTTTTCTGACAATACACGTACTGTGTGTGTACGGACGGGCAGCGCGGGCAGGACAGCTCACCAAATAGCTGGGCAGCTCTTAGGGCAGGTATCTCACTCCTATATATAGAGGAGTGGGTCTTTTTTAGGGTTGACGATTTTATCCATTCTCTACTTTGGAAAATTGAACAAATATATACTGACTTAAGCATCGGAGGCTCTTCACCGGAAAACCCCTCCGGTGTGAGAGTGTTTGTGCAGGAGCGCGACGTTCTATCGGCGAGGAAGAAGGAGGCAAACCAGTTTCAAGCCGGTTGGAGTGTTTTGCGTTACCA